TTCAAACCGCCATGCTTCAGAGATTTTGTGCTGAATCTGGGGTCGGACTATTAAGGGAACTTCTTAGATACTGGCGGAACCATTTACCGTCCTATAGAACAACTTTTGACCCGTCTGTCCACAAGATCTTGCGCTACTTCTCAATCGTCCAATTCAGGTGCCCTTTGGCGAAATTAAGATTAATTTTTTTCTATTAACGGTACTTTTCGAGAACTACGGACATATGGATAAATAATGTATGTTCAGTTAACAAACAAACAATGTCGCAACAAATATATTTTTCGAAAACATCCAATGCCTTTATATATACACAGATAAGTGTACATCTGTATATCGTATACCACATTAGAACTCTCCAAAACATTAAGGAGCTTCGAATGCCACATTTTTGCACGTTACTGTAAAAAATTTACCCGCCACATTAGAACGCGGCAGTATTACGCCCAAAAAACAATAATAAATTTAGTATGCCATATTACTGCACGTTACTGTAAAAAAAATATAGCTACGGTAAAACTATAGTTTCCTTTAATCACTACTATTTCCAACCAAATATTAATAAACTTCGAATGCTATAAAATTGCACATTACTGTAAAAATCCTTCAAAATATGGAACCACTTTGAAACTATAGAACCTTCTTTAAACTATAGAGCTAATCAGAAAAAAGTATTCTTTCAAATAATAATAATAATAAAATCCTCAAATTCTATAATATTGCACATTACTGTAAAAATCCTTCAAAATATGGAACCACTTTGAAACTATAGAACCTTCTTTAAACTATAGAGCTAATCAGAAAAAAGTATTCTTTCAAATAATAATAATAATAAAATCCTCAAATTCTATAATATTGCACATTACTGTAAAAATTCTAAAAACTATAGAATTACGTTTAAAAATAACAATAAACTTCAAAATATTACAAATTATTTCCAAAAACAGTGTTATTAAAAGTTTCTAATTTTTCTCACTACTGTAAAATATTTAGACATATAGAACTACCTAAAACTATAGAGCTTATCAGAAGAAGTATTATTTCAAAAAAAAAAATAATAATAATAATAATAAATTCAAATTCTATAATATTGCACATTACTGTAAAAGTTCTTAGGCCTATGGGACTAGCTTGAAACTATAGACCTCAACGGAAGTACTATATTATTTCCAAAAAAGTGTTATTCAAAGTCTATAATTTTGCTCATTACTGTAAACATTCTAACAACTATACAAATACCTTGAAACTATGGAGCTCATCAGAAGAGATTTCGGAAAAATACACAAAAATATGTTTCGAAAATATTAAACTGCACATCACTGTGAAAATATTATTGGCGGCTTGAGATGCATTTTTGCCTTTATCGTAGTAGTACTTTAAAATATGCCGTATTTTCTATTTATTTTGTTCCACGTTTGCGACACTATAGCTCACTAACGACTTAAAAGAAACGACAATCAATCAAACACGTGTTAGCGCGTGAAATGAGCTTTCCAAAAAGGTATACTCGTAGCATGACCCGATGCGACGAATAAAACTAGAACAACGCGCTCTCAGCGCCAACTAGCGAAAATACCGCAAGACTTTTTTGACAACCTAATATATATATATGTATATATATAATAAACTTCGAATGTTATAATATTGCACACTAGTGTGAACAAAATAAGATTTTTCGAGCCACCTTGGAAATATAGAGCCTTTCAGAATTTCACAAAGCAAAGTAACAAACATAGAGTTTATTAGAAGTGCTTGATGGCAACATCACTCACTCTAAATTGTAAAATTCCCTACACCGCCTTTTGAAACCCCCAGAATTATTTATTTCTGTTTATTTTTCCAAAAATTTAACAGAATTTTAGTAAACAAATTAATGGAATAAGGGAAGCTGAACCAAGCGCATTTTCCCATTTACGCAACGCATTTACGCTCGGCTCGGCTTTGGGTGTCCCCTCTGCGGGTACTCTAACGCGCTAAAACCGCAAAGAATTCTTATCACCAGAGATTTTTAAAATATCCGCTAATTCTTTAGCAACTTGTTCATAATTTGTTGTTGTACTTTATTTTTATGCTTTTGTACTTTTATTTTTATGAAGTCAGACGTAGGTAGCTATCGAGTAATGTTAACTGCTGATGATCGTTGAAATATTCCCGTTTGCGGTTGGTTGCTAGATGGAAATAAAATGCGCTGGGTTTAAAGTTGGGTCCATCTGAGTCAATTAGTTTGTGCGTAGTTATTTCGGCAATTCCCGTTCACATCACCTTTACTTTGTACGATACGTTGTTATTTAAGCCACGGATTCAGCTTAAATTAAAGCTCTTTGAAAGTGAATACTACAGTTTGAGTAAGATTTTTTTTCTTACCACGAATCATCATCGCCTTTAGTTTAAAGTCAAATAAGTTGTGATAGTAATTTTCCAATTGTTGAACAAATATTCGGTCTAAAAATTCTTTTCACAAAATTGATGCAACTAAATTTTCAGTGCCATTTCTAAATTCTTTTTAGTTGTAGAAATTTGATATTGTGCTCATAATTGATTATTATTTCCCTCACAGCCGTAATTTACTCCTACTGACATTAAAAACACATTAACACTCTTTTGAGTCTGCCGAGCTCACTAACCTCTTCCACCTCTTCATAATGTCTCAAAAAAAATTTGTTTACAAGTGTTATTAAAACCTTGAGTTTTCAACATAAAACAATCAGCACCATTATAGGGGTAGCGATGATATTTAAGTGGAAGAGTTAATTTGAGACTGTAAAGTGGAAATGTGGGTGGAATCTAACTAAGTGAAAAGTGACATTAAAACTTATGAACTATTTTGTTTTGGTAGAAGGCTTTGCTAAGGTTCGAAACCAGGCTAACTTGTGTTAGCGGTAATTGAAATAACAGTTAAGCAGAGAACAGAGTTTTTAGTTACAATCAGAGATCTTTAAAAGGACTTTCTTCACAAGACAGTCGAGCTTGCTGACACAGGCGTGTTATGGTTGCCACTGTCAAATCAATATCTCTAAATAAGGCATGCATTTTGATCATGTAACTTTATAGAAGGCCCACCTTTTTCATCTTGATTCGGTTCGAGGCTGAACAAAAACCTCTATTGTGCTGTGGGTCCGGCAAACATCCCCAATGCGACTCCACACTGAAGAGAATTATCAATTCTACCATCCTTTAGGTTTAAATCACAGCCACCACGAATCTTCCCAAGGAGCAGATTGGAGCGAACTTCAAGGGCTAACTGATCCCAATGGTACCAGATTTAAGTTTCCGGTCAGACTCAATGACTTGTGGCACTTTCTTTAGATAGAATCTCATTCAAAGTCTCTAAAATGAGCTCAAGCTGAACTTTCGAGGCACACTAGTTGCCTCTTGTATCTGGCACACTTGCGCTTGTAAATTTTACCCCCCGCCTGCTGGGGGAACTTCGACTTACAGTAGGAAAAAGAAATATGCGATTCCTCTTTCTTTATTCCAAGCGTTTTTTCAAGGTTATGATGTTTTAAGAGCTATAGATCGGCCTGAACTTACAAGCAGCTCGATTTTTTTAAATAAGTTCACATCAGCTGATTTCAGCAATTATGAAAAATATTTCTTATATTTTTGAATTGTGATAAACGTTTTACTCTACCCAAGTGCACTCGCTCCCAAGCACCTACATTAAGCCGCAACTCAGCCAACCCATTCTTCACGCTGGCCAACTCATCATCGCTTTGTAAGTGTAAATTTCCACCAACCCACCGATTAGTAATGCGTGCACGCGTATCTCGACGAGATTAAAATTACTTGGCGGGTAAACAAAACTTTTTTCTTTGTCCAAACACCGCCTCTTTGTACTGTAAGATGAGAAAAGGCAAGTGAGCGTATCAAAGCAGGGTGAAATGAAAAGGCGAAAGGGAATAGAAAAGAAAGCCGCCGACAATGGAAATAGCTCAACGCTAGCGCCCACTATTATGTTTGTTGACTTGTAAATAGCTATATATGTGTGTGTGTGTACAGTATGTTTGCACACAGCGTCATAAAGCTGCGACTGCGTTGAGTGGCGTTGAAAGGGTCATGACATTCATTGGCATTGCAGGTCAAAATTGTTGATTTGATTTGAAACGGCAATATTGTTGCAACTGTAACACTGCTGCTGCTGCTGTTATTGTTGTGGTTGGTGGTGTTGTTGCTGCTGTAGTTACTGCTCTTGTTTTTGCTGTTGTTATCGCACTTTATGTTGTTGGTGCTGCAGCTATTGGTATTGTTTTTGTTGCTGTATCGTAGTTGTTGTTGCTGTAGCTATGCTTTTTATTTTTCTTGTTGCTTTCTCAAGTTTTTGTTGCTTTTCCCCAAGTGTTTATTGTTGTATGAAGTAATTCTACTTGTTGTTGTAAGAAATTTAATTGCTTCGCTTACAAAGCAATTTATTGCCACCCTGTCATAACACTTTGCTTGCCACTCGGCCGCGTTTTCAACTCTAATACGCCTTATTGAATTATCACAGACAAATCATTTGACTTTTGGCATCGCCACATCAGCTGACTGCCTGCCAGTATGTGCAGTGTATGCACATATTGCTGTAGTTTCTAAGTCTAGTAATTAATAATATTTGTACAGCTGCTGGCGGCTTTGTGGGGGGCATCGTTGGCTAATTGAAACGTTTGCTGATAATGCCGCCACCGTCATGTGACGTATAACGGCACTTCGTTAACAAGAAAAAGAATGTGCGAGTAAATCACCGTTTGTATTTTTAGCGTTGCCATCATTTATTGATGATTTAAGTGAAAATCGGAGCGATATGATGGGTGTACTATCACTCCAACGGAACAATGCAGTTCAGCTGAACACTAAAATACAAACAAACACATGCATACATACATATGTATGTAAACAAATGTAAATAGAAAGATATAGTGATAAAGTGATAACAAAAATTGTTTACAACAAAAGCAATAAAAATATATAAATTAATAATAGTAAAAACTCACACGCGCTCGAAAGTGTGAAGTGCTATTAAACCTTGATTGGTTTTTGTGTAATATACGTTAATAGTTTTGTATACAACTATTTTTTGTTTTTTGTTTGTTTTTTTTTTTTGGAATTCACTCGTCGCACTAGTATGACAAATGAGTGGATCGATTTGGCGGATCGGCGTTTGCGTGCGCCGCTACGTGCGGGCTATAATCATCATCAATTGTTGCTCAACAACAATTACACCGGTGGATACACGAGTAAATTCCATTTGCGCGCGCATAAATTACAACAATTGCACACCGTTGGTGCGAAGTTAAAAGGTGAATTTAAAAACCATAAATAACGGTGTAATGTGTATATACGCCTCTAATACGTAAGAATATGAAGTTTATTGATCTAATTAGCGGCGATTAGCGCGATTAGGCATATGCAAGCGGCATTCTAGTTTTTTACACTAAATAAATATATGCAAAGTTGCAACGCACTAATTATTTCAATAAACACTTTTTAATCAGCAATTAATACGCCTTACTAGTGATTAGCGTAATTGTTTAAAGCGTTGATTTGATTTCGCAGTTGGCGCATTTAAGCGTCGAATTAGTAGGTTACAACTAACAAAGTTCACTATATTAAACCCTGAATACAATGTATATATTTTATAGGGTCTCCGACAAACATCGAGTCACCTAATTTAGGGTAAAATATGGTTAACTCTGTTGGCAGTGCCCTCAAAGCAAAATGATCAGCGTGAAGAGCATAGTCGATGTAACAAAAAAAAAAAAAAAAAAAAAAAATTAGCAAACAAACAAAAAAATTTAAAAAAATACATAGTAAAAGAGTACCTGAAAAAGTATTCGAAAAACTACATTTATTCCAACGATTTTTCCATTCATCGAAACACTTTCACAACCACTTTTTGGGCTGGTCTTCAGCTCTTTCAGCGAATTTTGATTTCTCTCTTCGATTGACTGTAAACGGTAGCGCCAATTTAAGTTTGGAAAACAAGAAAAAATCACACGCAGCCAAATCTAGTTAATACGGCGGTTGTTCGATGATAATCATTGCTTTTTTTGATTTTAAATTCGGTTACAATCATGACTCGATGCGATGGTGCATTATTGTTGTGTAAAATCTATGAATTGTTCTTCCACAATTCCGGCCGTTTTCAACTGATGTATACGATGTCTACGAAATAGAATTCCTAGTGGTCCGTGAGTGCCTCCATTACAAATTCATGAGGCACCAAACCACGAATATCGAAAAAACGGCTTTGACGTGGTTGTTTTATTTTCGGCTCATTTGTTTCCCTCCATTCCGATGTTTGTTGACTTATTGCATGTCAAACTCATAAGTCCATGTCTCACCGACAGTTATAAGGCTCTCCAAGAATGTGCGATCGGAATTCACATGATCAAGCATGTTCAAAGACCTGTTTACGCTACTCTTTTTGGAAAAAATTCAGCTTAATCGGGATGCGACGAGCAAGAAACGTTTCATACCCAAAATGTTCACAATAATCACTCAGCGAACCTGCAAAAAATGTCAAGCTCTCTTGCCATCTCTCTAAGCTTTGCCTGACGATTTTTAAGCACCATATCATTGAATTTTTTCTAAGGTCATCCAGAGCGAGGCATGTTTTCAAAGATCTCTCTCTTTTTCTTCAGTATAAAAGTCTTTAATGAAAAGTTTGAAATAGCACTGTGTAAAACAGTGCTTCAATTTGCTAAAAAAATTGGCATTAGAACTTTCTCGTCTGGTACCTTATGGTACAATTAATTTATGGTATATTTATGATTTTAGTACCTATTTGCTTTGTTTTAAATCAAAGAATATTTTACATACAATTTATTCCTTTATTTCATTTCAGATGTGCCATCACAAATTCCACCACTCACTCCCGGCACCAATCGAAAGGTAGCTGAAGTGTTAAAGGCCTCCTTCGCTTCATGGGAGAAAGAGGTGCAAAACTGTAATATAACCAAAGGTGAGAAAATTTTTGTAAATAAATAATATTTATAAAAATAGTAAATAAGACCTACGCAGTCAAATAATTAAAACACTGCAAATAAGAGTACTCTTTTGTGAAATTAAATTTTCTTTGTGACGTCACTTTAATGACTACGGAAGTGAGAGAGAAATTTGAATCCGAAAACTAAAATATAAATTCAAAACACCTTAGATAAAAAGTTGAAAAGGTAAATATCTTTTAGTTTAAAAATTGGGATAACAAATAAAAAAAAAAAAAAAAAGGATTTTTTCAAATTTAAAGCTAAAATAAAAGATAGATTTACATTAATAGTTCTAATTGAAGCACTATAATTAAGATAATTTATTATTTCTGTTTAGCTAACAAAGAAATCACATAAGCTAAACTATGTTGATATTTTATTAAATTAGCTCTTATTTCCAAAATATAACCAAAAGAAGAAGAAACGTTAACTTCGGTTGCACCGAAGCCCCTCACATATACATAATATTCCATCAAAAAACTTTGATCGTTCAGTTTATGTGACAGCTATATGCTATAGTTATCCAATTTAAACAGTTTATAAGGACATTATACTATTTGCCCTAGGTACGGGCGTTAGTTAATATACACGTCAAATGAAGAAGTTTTATGCATATATTTTATATGGTATCCGACGAGGCTGCCACAAACTTAGTAGGAAAGTTAACATATCATGCTCAGATTATAGTACGCAAAGCTGAAAATTTTTTTAAATTAAATAATTAATTAAATTTAA